CACCCCAGAGCCAATCCAGTTGAGAGGTTCAACAGAACACTTCTCCAAATGCTTGGTACCCTGAATGACAATGAGAAGTTACATTGGAAAGAGTATGTAAAGCCTCTAGTACATGCATATAATTGTACCAAGAATGATGTGACAGGCTATTCACCTTATGTGCTGATGTTTTGGAGACAACCAAGGCTTCCCATTGATCTAGTATTTGGGTTGCCTATGGATGCTCAGAAGAAGTCACATTCCCAGTACGTCAGTGATCTGAAACATAGGTTGGAGGAAAGTTTTAAGATCACAACATCAAACGCACAAAAGAATGCTGAGTGCAATAAAACCTGCTTTGACAAGCAAGTGGTTGACTCAACTCTCAACGTGGGCGACAGGGTTCTCGTGCGTAATGTTAAACTGAGGGGAAAACATAAGTTTGCAGACAAATGGGAGGGAGATGTGTATGTAGTTCTTAGAAGAGCGGGTGAACTACCAGTCTATACGGTTAAACCGGAAGCGAAAGAAAGACCAGTCCGAACATTGCACAGAGACCTGCTCCTTCCTTGTAGCTTCATACCGGTCACGGAGTCAACTGAAAACAGTCCCAAAAAGCCCCAAGCTCGGCGGAACACAAGGCAAACTGTTGTTCAGGAAGACGACGACGACCTCGACTCCGAGTACTTCCCAGTACCCACCTGGATACCAATCTCCATTACCAGTTCCATCAAGCCGACTCTCGTGCCCCGCGCTGAAAGTGTGCAGAGACCACTTCCAGCTTATGATGAAGGCAAACGTGACAATCCCACCGAACGTGACAATCCCACCGAACGTGACAACCCCACCGAACGTGACAACCCCACCGAACGTGACAATCCCATCGGACGTGACGGACAATCAGAGGAAATTGAGGAAACGGAAGTTGTGAACTTACCCGAAACGGAAGTTGTGAACTTACCTGAAACTGCAACTGAGAACTTACCCGAACATGTGGACTTACCTGAGCCTAGTTGGCGGGAAACCAACGTTCAAGTTGAAAATCCTGTGGAAAGGACCCAGCAACCTAGTGAGCAAGTCCTGCCTGAAGTGGATGAGGCAATGCTAGAGCATCCTAATGACCAAGAAAGAGTCATAACTGAGCAGCCCAGTTCATTTGGTTCACAGAACAGCTCTCAGGAGGAACATGACGTTCTTCATCGATCTCAAAGGTCACGTCAGACACCAGAAAGGTTGCAGTATTCTACCTTAGGTAACCCCTTACTGTATGTTGTTAATGCAGTATTTAAACTATTAGGAATCCAAAACAACTTCTCTCCATATTTACAGACAACAGAGACTTTAAAACGTTGGTTGAACGTACCAGTAGCTCAAAGTTATCCCACAGATATTTAAAGTCATCTGACTGTTAACCAAGTGTGTTCATGTTCATGAGATTAATTCAGCTAACATTCAGATGTAGGTGGAGGAAAAATATACAACATGTTCAGTTGGATCTTGTCAGTGATTCCAGTGATCCTCCTTTTAGAGAAACCAGTCAGACACATGTTGATAAAAACTCACCATTATAACAGAAGAAGGGTTTTTCTTTGTCACATTCATCAGAGCTCCATTTTCCTGATCTGTTTAACAGAGTCATAGCACATTTCTTGTTGCTTTGTTCATCATTGAATAACTCCATATCCCAGTATCTGAAAGAGAAATCACTCCCATCTGACCACCTCCAGCTGTCTCTGAACAGACCCATCCACACACTCATGGGACCGCCATTGAACAGAGCCTTCATTTCTTCTCCATCTACCTGATCGAGTCCACTGGCCAAGTCAGTGTGATGGTATCTGCAGTAGTTCTGAGCCTGTGTCCAGTTCATAGGTGTTTCAATCAAATACAATATTTTATTGTCTTTCTTCATTCCTGTGAAACAAACAGAAAAACACACAAAGACATCCCTCAATTATTTCTCTCCTGAAATTCTTTCTGTCTCTATCTTCTCACTTCACAATTATGTGATTGCATTATATTTTTTATATCATGATATTATAATAATATTTAATATTATGTACATCTCCTCACCATTGTAGCAGATGAACCACATAGTACGGTCACATGAAACATCTGCCAGCTTTTTATCTTCATTATCGTATCTTTTCCTCCCACAGTTTCCAGGCCCAGGTTCAGTTTCTTGTCTTCCATTCAGATTCCAGCTGCTGTCATTTTGAATGTATTCCACTCCTGGCAGAGACCAATGCCACGTCCTGTTTCCACCTGTGTTGTTGTTCAGTCCAATCCAGGCTTCTCCTTGATTCTGTGCAGAGTTACGGAGTCTGCTCATGTCTGTCATGTCAAACACTTTGGCCAGGTCTGTATATTTCTCTCTGCAGTATGTCTGTGCTTCATACCAGCTCTTGTTTTCTGCAATAAAGTGGTACTCATACAGGCGGCATGTAAAGAGGCAACACTGACCTGAAATACAGAAATATGATAAACAAAAAAGTCACATTAGCAAATCAAACATAAGGTTGAAACTGTCACATAAATAAGACTCTGACTGCAGTGATTGTGCAGATATAAGAAGACTGAGTGAATCTAAGCTAAAGTCCTTTATTTGCCAGTTGCATTCATACAATAGGTCCGATTACATGGGAAATCTTATGCAGAGCTGAGAGTAACAGTCAAACAAGTACAAATACACACAGACATATCAGGTATAAAACAAAGTGCCTGCAGATGTATTATATAAGATTTTCTTTTAAACAGAAATTTAAAAAAAACATGTCAAGTAGTAATCAGTAGTAATTAAGGAGTAATCTACAGTCATTTTATTTAAATTAAAAACAGTATATTTGATAAAACAATCCACTTACCCATCAGAATAAGCAGATACAGACTCCACTGCATCTTTGATCTGACAGATGAAAG